GGAGGGCTTTTGGGCTGGTCAGTTAGAGATCAGACTCTCTTAGATTTGTCTGCCCGGGCTGGCTTTGAACCGCGATCCTCAGACCTCAGCCTCCTGCTGGGATGACAGGTGTGCGCCATGGCGCTCGGCCCTCACTTTTGACACGAGTGTTCTCAGGAAATGGAAAGCAGTTTGTGCGCTGGGCGTCGGTGGCTCAGGCCTGTTCCCCTCGCTCCTCAGAGCCTAAGCTGTGAGGATCCCAGTTCAAATCTAACCCCTCCCCGGGGTAGGGGGGAGCAGAAACATCCGTGAGACACTCTTACCTCCAGTGGACCCACAGAGCAGCCGAGTTCAAAGCCAACCAGGGCAGAAGCAACCCAGACACGCTTAGACCCCAAGGAATCCAGTCCAAGAAAAGTTGGGAGGCATGGTTCAAGTGGTAGAGCACCAGCCTTGAGCAACGATGCTGAAGGGAAGGGTCCGGGCCCTGAGTTCAAGCCTCAGGACTGGCCCAAAATGAGGGAATGAACAAATGCACACCTACACGTTTACACACATAGACCGACGCTCGCACAAACGAGTGTATCGCAAGCATATGCACCAGTGAACGCATACAAACACATGCATGCACAAGTACACAGAAGAGGGATCTGGGGTTCCGGGGGGGGCTCTCCCGGCTCCCCCAGATGGTCCGTGTCTCCACCCCCAGGTGTCCGTGGTGAGTCTGATCGATTTGAAGAGCTGGAGATCTTTCCGGACGCTGCGTGCGCTGAGGCCCCTGCGGGCTCTGTCTCAGTTTGAAGGAATGAAGGTGCTGTGCGGGTTTGGGGTGCGGGGTATGGAGTGTGGGGGTGTGGGGAGCTGGATCTCTCTTTTTTTTTTAATTTGTCCAAGACCGGGACTCGAACTCAGGACCTGAGGCTTGCTTTCCCTCCTTGGCTGGCGTGCTACCGCCTGAACCACGCCTCCAGTCTGTGGGAGATTCCTGCCACCACCGTGTTTTTCCCGAGACTCTGCACACAGCTGAGGGGAAAAACACGCTTCTGTTCTCTTCTCTCTCTTCTTCCTTCCTTCCTTCCTTCCTTCCTTCCTTCCTTCCTTCCTTCCTTCCTTTCTCCCTCTCTACTTCCTTCCTTCTGTACTTTCTGTGATCCTTCCCTCTCTCCTTCCTTTGTTCGTTCCTTTCTTCCACCTCTTCTTCCTTCCACCTTTCCTTCCTTCCATCTCCCCTTCCTTTCTCCCTCTCTCCTTCCTTCCTTTCTCCTATCATTCCTTTCTTCCTCCCTCTCTCTCCTTCCTTCCTTCTCTCCTTCCTTCCCCCTCTCCTTCCTTCCTCATATCATTCCTTCCTTTCTCTCTCCTTCCCTCTGTACTTCTGTGATCCTTCTTTCCCTCCCTCCCTCCCTCTCTCCCTTCCTCCTTTCCTCCCTCCCTCCCTCTCTCCCTCCCTTCCTCTCTCCTTCCTTCCTTTCTCCTATCATTCCTTTCTTCCTCCCTCTCTCTCCTTCCTTCCTTCCCTCTCCTTCCTTCCTCCTATCATTCCTTCCTTTCTCTCTCCTTCCCTCTGTACTTCTGTGATCCTTCTTTCCCTCCCTCCCTCCCTCCCTTCCTCCCTTCCTTCCTTCCTCCCTCCCTTCCTCTCTCCCTTCCTCCCTCCCTCCCTTCTCTCTCCCTCTCTCTCTCTCTTTCATTTTCCAGTCCTGGGGCTTGAACTCAGGGCCTGGGCACTGTCCCCCAGCCTCTTTGTGTTCAAGGCTGGCGCTCGACCCCTTGAGCCACAGCGCCGCTTCTGTTGTTTTCTGAGTAGTTTATTTACGGCTTTTTGTGCCCAGCCTGGCTTCGAACTGGGATCCTCAGATCTCAGCCTCCTGAGTGTCTGGGATGGCAGGCGTGAACCGCTGGGCCCTGCGTGTCAGGGACACTGAGGCACAGTGAGAATTGGGAGCGGGGACTGTCACAGGTTTCAGCAGTGGGAGGACAGAGCGCCAAGATCCCAACACCGTCCTCAGGCCGCCCCGGGAGGAGTGGGAGATTCTTGCATCCCACCGTCTGCTAAAAAGAAGAGTTTTTAGCCAGGCACCGGTGGCTCACGCCTGTCATCCCAGCTACTCAGGAGGCTGAGATCTGAGGATCGCGGTTCAAGGCCAGCCTGGGCAGGAAAGATCGTGAGACTGATCTCCAGTGAGCCACCTGAAAAACCAGAAGTGGTGCTGTGTGGCTCAAGCAATAGAGCAGCAGCCTTGAGCAAAAGCAGCTCAGGGGACAGCAGCCGGGCCCTGAGTTCAAGCCCCAGGGCTGGCAAAAGAAAACCCCTCAAGGCGGCCACGATGAAAGGGTTTTGTTTTCTCTCGAGGTGGTGGTGAACGCGCTCATCGGCGCCATCCCGGCCATCCTGAACGTCTTGCTCGTGTGTCTCATCTTCTGGCTCATATTTTGCATCCTGGGAGTCAACTTCTTTTCCGGAAAGTTCGGCAGGTGCATCAACGGCACAAACATACGCGTGTATATGAATTCCTCTGACGTTACCAACCGCAGCCAGTGTGAGAGCAACAATTACAGATGGGTGACCCCGAGTGTGAACTTCGACAACGTGGGAATGGCCTACCTTGCGCTGCTGCAGGTGGTAAGCATCCCCTCTTTTTCAGCCCAAGGGAGGGGCACACGGGGGAACCCCGAACCCACCCTTCAAGCCCCCCGTGCCAGCCAGGAACGCACGCCTGCCATCCCAGCCAGCCTCTGCAGGAGGTGGAGGGGAGAATAGGAGGATCGCGGTTCTAAATCAGCCTGCGCAGGATAGTTCTTGCAAGACTCTTCTCTCTAGTGAATGACTCCACCCCCACCAATGCTAATGTGAGATCCCAGCCTCCTGATTGGCTGGGATGACAGGCGTGAGCCCCTCACGCCCAGCTAGACAGTTCCTGTGTCTCCATTGCAGGCTACCTACAAGGGCTGGCTGGATATCATGAGCGCCGCCGTCGACTCCAGAGGGGTGAGTGTGTGTGTTCCACCGTGTTCTGGAATGTGGAGGGTCACACCAGGGTTATTTTGGGGGAGCACACACCTGTCCCCAGGGTTCTCCACCTTGGTTCATTTTTACTTTTTTTTTTTGGGGGGAGAGGAGGGAGCTGCCTCCTTTGGTGAGGACCCGCTAGCCGAGTTTTCTCTGCAGTCCCGTCTTCTTTCTCTGTGAGAGGGAAGAAGTCAATCGAGGGAGAAGCAGCAAGCTTCTCATTCTACCTAGGAGGCTGAGGTCACGAGGATGGTGGTTCAAAGCCAGCCTCGGACAGAAAAGTGGATGAGACTCTTAGGCCCAGTGAACCAGTAGGAAAAAAAATCAAAGCTGTGGGGAAACACTGGGGTTTCTAGAACCCGCCCTGGGGGTGGCTTCATTTTTCTTTTTCATTTTTATTTTTTGTGAACTTACTGTACAGAGGGGTTACAATGACATGGGCAGGATAATGAGTACATTTCTTATCAAGCATTGCAGCCTCCTCCTTTGTTTACCCTTCACATCCCTTCCCAGCCTCCCCCCGCCCCCCTCAATCCT